CTTCGATTTCTTCCTTCAGTACCACTGGTTCTTGATCATAATGAATGAACATTGACCAATTCTTTTTGGTACAGTGACTATGCATATTCCTTCCATATTCTTTTGATTTTGCTGAATCATTCAATATATTGCCCATAGAAACTTTCAATATTGCAACTTGAGGCTTAAATTTCCTCTTCAGTTATTTCAGCTTGAGAAATGCCAAGTGTGTTCTTCCCTTTCAGTTTTCAAACTCCAGGTCTTTGCACATTTCATTATAATAATTGACTTTGTCTTCTTGAGCTGGTCTTTGAAATCTTCTGTTCGACTATTTCATGTTGTCATTTCTTCCATTTACTTTATATATTTATTTTTTAAATTTTTTATTTTAAGAGTTTGTTTTACATTCAACATTACATGTACCTTTAGTTTCACTCCCCATTTACCATGTCCAACCCTAACCCTGTCTCCTCCCTTCCCTGCCCGTAACCACCCCATCCCCATGCCCCTCATAATTATGCACTCCTGTTTGTCCTGCATTTCCTCTGTGTGAATGTTGCCCCTCTGGGGGCCCATGGTTGATTGTTCCATAGAGTATGTGGGCATGTCACCCTGCGTTGAATGGTCTGCATGTACATCTTGTTCACTATTAGGCTGAGAGCCAGCCCTTGGGAGTGAGCTTTATTCCAGGCCCAGAATGTATCCCAGGACTATAGTATTGGGGGTCTCACCAGACTCCATCTGACCAGTAATTCTGATTATTATTGACTTTTTGGATTTTGTTCCATGTTTTTCCTCCCACTCTATCCAGGATCTCCAGGTTTGATCCTTTTCTAAGTGATTACCATTGCTAGCTGGGCACCATCTAGTTCTTCTGGTCTTGAGGTCCATCAGGTCCAAGGGCTAATTGCTTCCAAATGCCCATTTTTTTTGCACTCTTCTTTGCTCTTGATGATAGGAGACCATTAGCTGCATCTTAGATGGCCACTTGAAAGCTTTTAAGACCACGGTCACTATTCACCAATGTAGGATGAAGAACAAGGATTTTATGTATTTTGTTGTGCCAATGGAGTCTGGTGTTCCCCAGTACTATGGTCCTGGGATGGTAGATCTGTTGGATCTCTCTCTCACAGTGTCTGGGTGTCTGTGAGGGATTACTCTAGGTCTGTCTTCTATTGTTTCTGTAAGGATTGCAGATATTTTGCATCACTGGTATCTGTGCAAGATTAGCCTCTGCTGAGTCTATCCTTGCTTTAGAATACACTCCTATTCACTGACCCCCATCTGATCCTCTCTGGTGTTTATGTGTTTATCTGTAGCCTGGAGTTTGGTGTTAATGGTAATGTAGCATTGTGGATACACTGGTTGATATTAGCACCTGTCATCTATCTCCTATGTGCACAATTTGGTGTCCTCCCTTTTCCTAATTGTATCATTATGGTCACAGACTCTTTCCATACATCCCTCCCCTTGGCCACATCAGCATGCGGGCCCCAATAGCCCAAAATTAATCCCTCCCCTTCTATCCCCACCCTCTTCCATTTACTTTAGATACTGTCCATTCAAGGGCAAGTTTCAGCATCTCTTCTGACATCCACTTTGGTCTTTTCTTCCTTTCCTGTCTTCTTAATTACTTTTTGCTTTCTTCATGGATGATGTCCTTGATGTCATCCCACAATTTCTCTGGTTTTTGGTCATTGATGTTCAGTGAATCAAATCTATTCTTTAGATGGTCTCTAAGTTCAGGAGGGATATAATCAAGGTCATCTTTTGGCTCTCATGAACTTGGTTTAATTGTCTTCAGCTTCACTTTGAACTTGTGTATGAGCAGTTGATGGTCTATTTCACTATCAGGCCTTATTTTGGCTGAAGATATTGAGCTTCTTTGTTGCTCTTGCTACAGTCATAGTCAATCTGATTCCTGTGTTCTCCATCTGACAAAATCCACATGAATAGCTGCCATTTGTGTTGTTGAAAAAAGGTATTCAAATTGTCATTCCCAGCATAGTGGATCATATAATTGTCCAGTTCAAAATGGCCAAAACCAGTCCATTTCAACTCACTAATGCTGAGGATATCAATCTTTAAGCATTCCATTTCATTTTTGACAACTTCCAATTTTCTTAGATTCATACTCTGTACATTCCATGTTCCTGTTATTAATGGATGTTTGCAGCTGTTTCTTCTCATCTTGCATTGTGCCATGTTAGCAAATGGAGGTCTTGACAGCTTTACTCTATCCACATCATTAAGGTTGGCACGACTCCGAGTTCTTCCCCAGTTGTATTTTGAGTGCCTTCTGACCTGAGGGGCCTATTTTCTGGCACTATATTGGACAGTGTTTCAAGGATATTCATAAAATCTTCCAGTAATATATCAGACAGTGTTTCGCTAATATTCATAAGATTTTCAGTGGTCAAATTTTTTGAGAAGTGGATGGCTTCTTCTATCTGAGTCACTCTTAGTAACCACCACAGTACTACTAACTATCATACAAGTTCATCTTCCTTAGCTATTCCAAACCGCTACACTCACTTCCTGTTCTCCCTCAGCCATTCCAAACTTGCCACACTGCCTTGCTTCCTTCCTGGTCCCCCTCAGGCCACTCCAAACCCACCATGCTGCCTCTCTTCCTTCCCAGCTTTTCTTAGAATAGAGGCATGTTTTCTTATATTCACATCTCTGTTAAAAAATGGCACCATGAAAAGCATACATATCATGATCTATTTATTGGAGCCACTAAACATTATTCATTATTTAATATGCAAACAAAAGCCTTCTCCATCAGGTTTGTTGTTATTGCCATTGTTAATTTTACATGTGGTCTGCTTAACTCTTTAATGTTATATATTCTTGTCCCTATTGGACATTTGGTCTGCCACCTCTTCTTCCAAAATAAACCAAACTTGCTGCCTTCGAGTCACTTCTAACTCATAACCTTTGGGTTTCTGAGGCAGTTAATCTTTATGGAAGTAGATTAGTCAGTCTTCCTTCTGCAGAGTGGCTGGTGGGTTTGAACCACCAACCTTCTGGTTAACAGTCAAATGCCTTAAATGCTATGCCACCACCTCTTTTTAGGATTCTTTTTTATCCTAAAAAAATCCAAAAAATGCTGCTAAATTGAATGTGTTTTAGTGGTTATCATATTCAGGTTTTAATTCAATGTTTAACAATCAGTGATTTTTATATTTTTTCCTAAAATATTAACAATTAAAAAAAATTAAGTGACTGCATCTACAGCATGATTTAGAAGGACTAATGTAAGGGATTATCTGCTTCAGCCTGTTACTTCTGCAAACGTTTAGTGCTGGAGAAATAATAGCAACAATGGCAACAGCAACAACACACAAGCACTTGTGAAGTTCTTCTACAGATTATAAAATGCTTTCCCATGTATTTTATATAATTACATGAGATCTAAAAATGCTAATGTAGCATTTATCCACAGTCTTAAGATGATATAAAAAGAGAACCAAGGAGGGGTCACTATGAGTCAGGGCTGACTCAATGGCACATAAAAACAACAACAACAATATGTTTGATAGTTTTACCAGGGCCACTATTGGTCATGGCAAAAAGGAGCAGTAACAGCAGGGCTGAACAAGGAGGCACTGGCCAGTGACCCCACTTGTGACAGAATTTTCCTTCCTGACAGAATGTGAGAATAAAACCCAGTGCCTCATAGATCTAATTTTGTGGTGACTTGTGTACCATCTTGCTTCATTCTTGTCATGTCAGAACTGAAAATACTGCTTGGAGGGAGGACGTGTAATGTTGCCTTATGTGGGCAGTAGCAATGTCTACTTTATTTTCAACTTTCTCAGCATTAGCACTGTGAGGATACCACTTCACTGGTGTTTTTTATTGTGTGAATTCAGGAGTAGTTATTTGGATGTCCCTAAATTTTATAATATCTAAAATTTTAAACTATGGGACATCTACAAAGTTTCTATGTCCAGAAAATTATTTGAGTCATAATCTTTGTTAGACTTTCCCTTCAGAGAACCAGTATGAAAAAATATATTTATATATAGCTCTGGTAGCATAGTGCCTAAGGCACTTGACTGCTAACCAGAAGTCTGGCAGTTCAAACTTACCAGCCACTCCTTAGAAGGAAGGCTGGGCAATCTATTTCCGTAGTGATACTGCCTCAGAAACCCAAGGAAGGGTTGCTCTGAGTCAGGTCTGACTTGACGGCACATAACAACAACAACACAAATAAATAGATGGGTAGGTAGATAGATAGATATAGATTAAGTCCTTTCCAGGTATATAATGTCTGTTAGGCACTGTGGGGAAAGGTCATATAGGAGAAGTTTGTTGAAATAAAAAAGATGTACTCATATGTTACCTTATATTTTATATGTTCAAGTGTCTCTATGTGTTCATAGGACTTGAGCAATCACATAAGTTGAGAAGGTCATAGAAAGGAAGAATAGAAGAGGGAGCAGTGAGAGGGCACTCTCAGGGGAGGGACACACATTAATTATGAAGATAAGATTGTACACTGAATGTTTAATTGCCCCACTCCACTACATTGTGCAAAAATGCTAACTTGTATGAAAGTGGGTCACTTTTTCAACAACTAGGATGGCACAAAGAGGCAGAGGTGGCAGTTGGTTCCTTGGTACTTACAAAAACATTAGCTTCTTTTTATATGGTGGATGGATAGATCTATCTCTTAAAGAGTAGTCCAGTGACACATATTTGGTTCTCTTTTTTTGCAAGTATTATGCTTCTTTGCATAACAATGCTTGCAACTAATAATGCCCAATATCATTGCCTTTAGGGTACTGTCTAGAAACTAGAGTCATTTCTCAATGATTCTGTAGATATTTTGGGCTCAGTTAGACATGATCTGTCCAGTGGATTTAGGGGTTGCATTTCGATGTGGAAGTTGAATTGTGATTATCCATCACATTGGAAAAATAATATTTCTAATCAATCTGTTTTCCTAACCACTTTCTTCATAATTTTAAGTGCTCTTTTTTGTTTTGTTTTGTCTTTGTTTTTAATGTAAGGTTGCCATTACCCCCTGGGGCTTTTTCGGGACTCTGGAAGAATCAAGAAGCATTCAAGCATCTATACTTCAAAAAATTTCCTGTAAGAACTTTACTATGTTGTTGTTATTGTTGTTATGTGCCATCGAGTCGGACCCGACTCATATGTATGTATATATTTACCTTCCTATACACTTCTGTAGGAGTTCTGGTGGCATAGTGCGTAAGGCATTTGACTCATAACCAGAAATCTGGCAGTTCAAATCCACCAGCCACTCCTCAGAAGGAAGGTTGGGCAATCTACTTCTGTAGTGACACTGCTTCAGAAACCCAAGGAGGGGTCTCTATGAGTCAGTCAGGGGTCTGATTTGACGGCAGTGAGTTTGGTTCAGTTTGATTATGCACTTCTCTGTAGCTCTTACCTGTTAAACTGATAAATGTCCTCTTAGAATCATATATCACAAAGGGTCTTTCAAAGGTCACCAGGACCAGTTTCTGCCTGTGAGGGATTTGAATGCCCAAACCAAAATTGTCTAAATAAGTCATGTTTATACTTACTTTATTTATCAGTGTCTGGAGATTTTAAAAAAAAAAAAAAAACCTCCAGTTTCTCTTAGTCATTTTCCCTAGATTTCTCCAGCCCTCAGTATCAGGAAATTTTTAATGAAATCAAAAGGTTTTTCAGAATTTCTATATCATTCCCTCTATTAGATTTCTCTTTACAGACTGAGGGTTACTGATGGGAATTGTACACTGTCATGAAGACCCCTTAACCTCCTCTAGTCTTAGTTATGTGAGCAAAATTCATTCTGCTTGCTGATACTGTATTTTTCTATTTCTTCACTTATTTTGGTATCCTTTCCTCAATGGTCTCTGTGCTCTTTATTTTAAAATCCAGATACAAGATAAAGACAGTATTTTCAAAGGCCAACCCTCAGTGCCCCAGGCTATGATGCCCCAGTGTAGTCCTGTTTCCTGTTTTGTGGCTTACCCATTGTTCTATGCCTAGGTCCTGTGTGTTGTGTTCGTAACAGCCCCTTATTGATCATACCCTTCCAGGTCTCATTGTTACCTATTTGCTGTCCTTTGACTGTTGTTTCTTTCCCTGAGAAAGATGGCTAGTCCTCATTATGCTCTCAGGAAAAAAGAATGGATGATCAGAATTCCATAAAAAGCGAATATAAGTGCTTAGCATTCTCTCTCTATTATTTATGATTGAAAGGCAGATAACCTAATCAAGTAGACAAATGATAAGAATAAAAATAACTGCCTTTAGAAAGAGATCTCAGTATCAAATGACCTCAGAAACCAAGATTAAACATGCCACCTATGGCCTCTGGCAGGGAATATTTGTCAGTGTAGTTGGCTTCCGTCAGCCCAATCTATCTACCTGATAGGTCACAGTTAAATCATCAGAGTACTGACATGATTAATTATAACCTGATAGTGGCCAACAACATGGGTATGTCCTTTTACCATGCTCATCTCTAACACTGAAATCTCCTTCAAGATCCCAGTTTACGTGGAATTTATATAGAGAGATTCTATACCCTGGCTTGTTACCTGACCTGAAATCTCTCATCTGAGAGTTTAATAATGCTTTGATATGTTCTAGGCCTACAAGTTTTTCATATATTATTTCATGTAATCCTCATAATACTCCATGAGATTGATACTATTAAAATCCCATTTAACACATTAGAATATTGAGGCACAGGAGGGTTGAGTAAGTTGCCTGGAGTCACCCAGCTTAGAAATAATAGAACTGAGAATTGAATCCATACAGCCTGGCTTCAGAGTCCATGCTCTTAACCACTATTCTAGGCTGCCTCTATAAAAGTAGTAATAATAATAATAGTTGCAATAAGAGCTACTGATCATTAAGAGTTCATGATGTGTTAAGGAGCTCAGGTGATACAGTGGTTCATGCATTTGTCTGCTAACCAAAAGTTTGGTGGTTGGAACCCTCCAATTGCTATGTGGTAAAAAGATGAGGTGCTCTGCTTCCATAAAGATTTACAGCCTTAAAAACACTGTGGAGCAATTCTACTCTGTCCTATAGTCGGAATCAACTCACTGACAGAGAGTTTGTTTTTTTGTCTGTCATGTCCCAAGGCATGCCCTCTCTCAATATATACCAGTCTGTTTTATATTCACAACAGCCCAATGAAGCAGAGATCATTACCCAATTAACAGATGACTACACTGAGTCTCAAAGAAGCTAAGAAACATAAACAGTGACTCACCTGAACTTGTACCAAAATTCATGCTTACATAGATGTCAATATAACTCAGAAATACAAGGGAAAGGAACATTTATTTTCTATGTATTATTCCTCTTTATTCTTCATTCTACATTAACTTCTAGTTAGTGAAGAAGTTCTGCTTTGAATTGACTATTGTTGTTGCTATGTGCCATGAAGTCAGAACTGACTCATAGTGACCCCTCCTTTGGTTTCCGAGGCGGTATCACGAGGGAAGTAGATAGCCCAACCTTCCTTCTGAGGAGTGGCTGGTGGGTTTGACCCTCCTGGCTTCTGGTTAGCAGTCAATTGCCTTAGGCGCTATGCTACCAGAGCTTCTTTGAATTGACTAGAAATTAAAATTTCATATGTACTATCAACTATTAATTTTCACTGAAACGTGAGTCCAATCCCAATCCATGTTAATAAACTACTATTATATTTTGCAGTTATTCATAAGGAGCTTTAAAGCTTTTAAAAATTAATAAAATTAAAGAAGAAATCTATCAAAGAATTACTTTGCAATTTCAAAGTGTATTGAAATGTTGAGCTATTACTTCTCCATTAAAATTTGAAATTGGGTTCATAAACTTTACAACTCTAAGTTCAAACACTTAACTTGAATGAAAATACCAAACTAAACCAAACTGACTGCTATTGAGATGATTCTGACTCATAGTGACCCCATAGGACAGAGTAGAACTGCCCCCATAGAGTTTGCAAGTCTGTGAATCTTTACAGAGGCAGACTGCCTCATTTTTCTCCTGCAGAACAACTTGTGGGTTCAAACTGCTGACCTTTTCATTAGCAGCTGAATGCTTTAACCACTATGCTATTCAAACATATATTTAAAAAAAAGAAAAAAGAAAGAAAAGAAAAAACTTACTACCGTCCAGTCGGTTCCGACTCATAGCGACCCCTCCTTGGGTTTCTGAGGCAGTAGCTCTATGGAAGTAGATTGCCCAACCTTCCTTCCGAGGAGTGGCTGGTGGGTCTGAACCACCAGCTTTCTGGTTAGCAATCAAATGCCTTAGGAACTATGCCACCTGAGCTCCTCAAACTTTAATTTATTTCTGGTGTTAGAGGAGCAAGAAGATTCTTGTAAGCTTTTGAAAGCAAAGGTAATTCAATCTCATGGTTAAGTTATGAGAGAAAGACAAATGGATACTATTAATTCACTGCTGTCATATTTTATATTTTCTAAAGCTTAAAAATGATTATATTGCCTAATTCTACATGCTAATTAAATGTTTTTATTCTTATTTGCAGGGATATTATGACACCATGGATGCTGGTTACATGGATGAAGAAGGCTATTTGTATGTTATGTCTCGAGTTGACGATGTAATAAATGTTGCAGGTCACAGGATTTCTGCAGGTGCCATTGAAGAGGTACTGATTATTATTAGTATTCTGTTCCAGGCAGTGTTTAGGAAAACTGCTGAACTGAAGACAATATCCAGGTTAAGTCATTCTACCTGGAAAATTTCCACATCATTGATTAGAAGCAGAAGCTAGGTTACTCAAGTATTACTCTTACCTCATTTCCTCTCAATTAGAGTTTTATATTCTCCATACTCCTCCCATTTCTGCCTGGGTGGTGGTGAGGAATTTTAAGTAGTTAAATATATTTATTCTTTATGGGTGCATCAGATATATTTACTTCTCATGCCTTGGCTTGCATACCTAGCCTTTCAGATATAAGTTACTCAAAGTCCACAGAACTGTTTTTTTTTTTTTTTTTTAATTCTATTTTCTTTTTTAATTCACTTAGAGTAAAATTTACTTTTTGTTGTACAATTTTGAGTTTTTATATTTGCTTGAATTCTTGCAATGTCATTATAGACAGGAATATGGAACAATTTGAATACTGACAAATAATATCTTCGTAATGTCACCTTTGTATTCTGAACCTACCTCATTCTAACCTCTGAAAAACATTGATTTGTCTCTGTTCCTATACTTTTTTTCCTTCTCTAGAATGATATGTAAATGGATTAGTACAGTATGTATTAGTATGGATTTTGTATGTCTCTCCATTTATTTAGATCTTTTTAAATATTTTTTCATCAGCATTTTGCACTTTTCAGCATACCGATTTTTAACATATATTGTTGGATTTATATTAATCATTTAAGTTTTATAGCTATTATAAATGGTGTTATTTGAAAAAAATTTGGTTTCTAAAAAATACTCGATGGCACATAACAACAACAACAACTATATATTATGTTATGTTACGTGCTGTTGAGTCAGACCTGACTCAAAGTGATCCCTCCTTGGGTTTCCAAGGTGGTATCACTATGGAAGTAGATTGCCCAATCTTCCTTTCAAGGAGTGGCTGGTAGGTTTGAACTGCTAGCCTTCTGGTTAGCAGTCAGGTGCCTTAGGCACTATGCTACCAGAGCTCCTATATAGAAATACTAATTATTTTTATATTCTGATATATATTCTATGACATATATTGCTAAACTCACTTATTAGTTCTAGGAGAATTTTGTAAATTTATTTGGAATGGCTATGTATACAATCATGTTATCTATGAACAGAAAGAGTTTTTATTATATTCTTTCCAATCTAAATGACTTTTATTTCTTTTCCTGCTCTTCTAGATCTGGTATAGAGTGATATCAGACTTCCAGTAATGATACTGAATAATAATGGCAAGAGCAGACACCCTTTCCTAGTTCCTGATTGTAGGGTAAAAACATTTAGTCTTTTTCCCATTAAGATTGATGTTAGAAGAACAGACAGAAATAGGAAGATGGAATAGAAAGTGTGGCTGCTTCCCTCCTTGAACAATTGCCTCCTTTACCATGAGACCAGAAAAACTGGTTGTGCTCAACTACCATTTACTGAATTTTTTGATCAAAGATTCTAAAGAAGAATCCAGGTTGAACTGAGAAAAAAAAAATGTGAGAAAGAATTTTTGTTCTCATAGAATCTAGACTTTCAGAAGTCATTGAGGCTAGATGAACTCCCAAAACCACTACTATGAGAAAATCTTTAACCCTGAAACCATAAACCAAAAATATTCCCTGAAGCCTTCATTAAACCAAACAACAGTCTAGTTTAACTAGTAAAGATGGTCCACTGTGAGCACTGTGATCTCTTAAAGAATATACTATATGCATACAATTGATACAGCCACTCAAAAGATTAGATAGGAAGCTTAAAATAAAGTGAGTTGTCAACAGGGGAGGAATAAATGGTACAAGAAAAGTGAGAATAGCTGCCCAATTTGAAAAATATAATCAATCTCACTGTACTGTACATGCAAAAAGTGTTGAATTGGTATGTTGTATATATTTTCAACAAACCAAAAACCAAACTCACTGCCATCAAGACAATTCCAACTCATAGAGACCCCCATTGAGTTTCCAAGTCTATAAATCTTTAAAAAGTAGATTGCCTCATCTTCCATCTGCAGAGATGCTGGTGGGTTTGAACTGCCAGCCTTCTGGTTAGCAGTCAAATGGCTTAGGCACTAATACCCTTCTATTCCTAATTTGAGGAGGGCTTTTTTGGTTTGTTTGTTTTTAATCATAAATAAATGTTAAATTTTATGAAATGTTTTTCGGATTCTTTTGATATGATCTTTTTTTTTTTTTTTTTCTTTGCCTGTTAATGTGGTAAATTACATTGATTAATTTTGAACTGTTGAAAATCTTTTGTATGCCTTGTATTGCTAAAATAAACCTACCTTGGTTGCAATTTGTAGTCAGCCCTCCCTATCCTACCCTTGTGTTCCACATCTACAGTTTCAGCCAACTGTGGATAATACCTAATCGTTTTTATTAGATATTATTAGTAGTTAAGATGATTTAAAGCATATGGGAGGATGTATGTATGTTATATGCATACTACACCATTTTATGGAAGCCCCTGGCAGAAGCCAGGGCTGACAGCCCTGATCCAGGAAAGGGGAGGGAGGGAGAGAACACACCCAAGGCAGGAAACCACCAGAAGAAGCCAGGGCTGAAGTCCTGAACCAGGTAAGAGGAGGGAAGGAGAGAACCCACCCAAGGCGGGATACTGCCAGAAGAAGCCAGGGCTGAAGGCCTGATCCAGGTAAGGGGAGGGAGGGAGAGAATCCGTCTAGCCAGGAAGCCTCAGGAAGAAGAGATGGCCAAGAGCCGGAACAAGGAGGGGGAAGGCCAGGAGGTGGGTGGAGAGGTTTGGAACAGCTAAGGGAGATGAACTTGTCTGTCACTTTGTGTTACTGTGGTGGCTTGCATGTTGCTATGAAGCTGGAGGCTGTACCACAGGTGTTTCAAATGCTAGCAGGGTTGCCCATGGTGGACAGGTTTCAGCAGAGCTTTCAGACTGCTACAGACTTGGAAGAAGGAAGAGGGCCATCCAATTCTCAAAGAGCCATTGGCTGGGTAAAACCTTATGAATAACAGAGAAACACTGTCTGTTACACTACTGAACAACTTTATGAATAGCCCTGAAACATTGTCTGATACAGTGCCAGAAGAGCCCCTCAGGTTGGAAAACACTCAGAAGATGACTGGGAAAGAACTGTATCATCAGAGTAGAACTGACCATAATCATAAGGATAAAGTAAAGCTTTTGGGACCACCATTGGCTGACGTGGCATGACTCAAACTGAGGAGAAACAGATGCAAATATCCATTAATAATCGGAGCATGGAATGTATTAAGGATGAACCTAGGAAAATTGGAAGTTGACAAAAAGGAAATGGAACACATAAAGATTGATATCCTATGGATTCGTGAGCTGAAATGGACTGGTTTTGGCCATTTTGAATCAGACAACCACATAATCTACTATCCTGGGAGTGACAAATTGAAGAGGAATGGAGTAGTATTCATCATCACAAAGAATGTTTCAAGATCTATCCTGAAGTACAATGCTAACAGTGATAAGATAATATCCATACACCTACAAGAACAGCCAGTTAATACTGCTATTATTCAAATTTATGCACCAACCACCAAAGCCAAAGATGAAGAAATTGAAAATTTTTACCAATTTCTGCAGTCTGAAATTGAAAAAAACATGCAATCAAGATATGCCGATTATCACTGGTGATTGGAATGCAAAAGTTGGAAACAAAGAAGAATCACCAGTATTTAGAAAGTATGGCCCTGATGATAGAAATAATGCTGAAGATTGCATGATAGAATTTTGCAAGACCAATGATGTATTCATTGCAAATACCTTTTTTCAACAACACAAATAGTGACTTTACATGTGGACTTTGCCAGATAGAGTACACAGGAATCAGATTGACTACATTGGTGGCAAGAGGTGATATAGAAGTACAAAATCTTCAGCCAAAACAAGGCCAGGAGCTGACTGTGCAATTGCTCATATGCAAATTCAAGTTGAAGTTGAAGACAAAATAAGTCCACAAGAGCCAAAATATGACCTTGATTGCATCTTTCCTGAATTTAGAGATCATCTAAAGAATAGATTTGATGTATTGAACACCAATGACTGAAAACCAAAGGAATTGTGGGATGACATCAAGAGCATCATCCATGAAGAAAGAAAAAGGTCATTAAAAAGAGAGAAAAGGAAGAAATGACCAAAATGGATGTCAGAAGAGACTCTAAAACTTGTCCTTGAGCTGACAGTAGCTAAAGAAAATGGAAGAAATGACAAGAGAAAAGAGCTGAACAGAAGATTTCAAAGAGCAACTCGAGAAGACAAAGTCAATTATAATGAAATGTGCAAAGATCTGGAGTTAGAAAACCAAAAAGGAAGAACACACTCTCAAGCTGAAAGAATTGAAGAAAAGCTTAAGCCTTGAGTTGCAATATTAGAAGATTCCATGGGCAAAATATTGAGTAATGCCAGAAACATCAAAAGAAGATGAAAGGAATACACAGAGTCACTGTTCACTGTACCAAAAAGAATTGATCAATGTTCATCCATTTCAGGAAGTGGCATATAATCAAGAACCAATGGTACTGAAGGAAGAAGTCAAAGCTGCACTGAACGATGTGGTAAAAAAGAAGGCTCCAGGAAATGACAGGATACCCACTGAGATGTTTCAATAAATAGATGCCATGATGGAGGCACTCACTTGGCTATGCCAAGAGATTTGAAAGACAGCTCCCTGGCCAACTGGAAGAGACTCATTCCAAAGAAAGTTGATTCCACAGAATGTGGAAATTATCGAACAGAATTAATTATCATTAATATCTGACACAAGTAAAATCTTACTGAAGATAATTCAAACATGGTTGCAGAGGTGTATTGAAAGAACTTCCAGAAATGCAAGCTGGATTCAGAAGAGGACATGGAATGAGGCATATCATTGCTAATGTCACATGAATCCTGGCTGAAAGCAAAGAATACCAGAAAGATGTTTACTTGTATTTTATTGACTATGCAAAAGTATTTGATTGTGTGGATCA